GTCCTGGCCTGTAGATGAGTGTAAACTGCAGAGTCCTGGCCTGTAGATGAGTGTAAACTGCAGAGTCCTGGCCTGTAGATGAGTGTAAGCTGCAGAGCCTGTAGATGAGTGTAAACTGCAGAGTCCTGACCTGATGATGTTGCTCTTCTGTGCTGGGCCATCTGTTTGAACAGTAGCTGCTTTGTTTCTCTGATGTATAACTTGTTCAGAGTTTCACGTTTAGCTTTGTACCAGACTGCATGGCTTGCACTTTGAAACTGTCTGCCGTTTATTAGGTGAGGTATGAGGTGAACACTATATTCAGAACTACTCAAAGAAACTCACTCATTAACACTAACTGCTCAATTTTGCTCAAGTGAATAAAAATATTGATGAAAAATAAGAAGAGTTTTTGTCTTATATTTATTAAAGGTAGGCTTCTGACGAGTAGTTTTCAGCCGTTAGTATCTTACCTGCAGCAGATAGCTGTCTAAGCATTATCATTTAAATCACAGTTCAAATAAACACATAATTGTTAACATTTAAACTTATTTCTGGACCTGACGGTTGTTGTTACAATGAAGATTGGCCATGTTGGAACCCATGCTGTCACTGCAACATGTTCTGAGGGAAACACATGCAAAAAAAAAAGGTTCATGGTAAACAAATTTGGTAACTATTTGATGCAAAAGTATTTGATTTGAACCACTATAACAGAAGAGTATCTCTCAGGAGAATTTCTGTTTCATCCTCTAAACAAAAGGTGTCGAACTATAGTCCTCGAAGGCCGCTAACCAGCATGGTCTCTGGTTTCCCTGCGCAATCACATGTGATTTGCCTGAATGGATGATTGACAGAAACCAAATCAAATGTGTCGGAGCAGAGAAAGAAATAAAACATGAAAGACAGCAGTCCTTGAGGACCTGAGTTTGACACCCCTACTCTAAACAAAGTTTGCTCAGATTGTCTACTGCAAGTAAAATACTGACTACTCATTTCTCCACAGACATTCATTTCATAAAATCTGGTCCCCAGACTGAGGACGTCAATGAGCCTGAAAACATCATCTATGAAAACTAATTTCCAGCCCTCATTACGCTGCTCCTCGTAGCTGTCGGAGAGATTACTCGTAGCCTTCCATCGCTGCTAATTAGTAAAATATCAATTTRTGACGCCATGTCTTTTGAATGTTTAATTGTTTCTTGATAAGAGCCTCAGCAGCAGGAAGCTCTGAGTGAAAACGGATGTTATTCATGTTACTGTGTGTTCGCTCTGATTGAAATCTTCAAGCCTTTTGTGTTCATATTTTTTTAAGGATTTTGCTCCTGTTTCATTAGATAAGACATAATTTCCACACAAAGTAAGAACTGGAATAATCCACCGGTGCAGCCTGAGACGTGGCAAAAGACTTAACTGAGCTCATGATCGCACACCGTCCTGCTGCTGCTGGTTCTGATTCACCTCTTTGACCCGTGGGTTCAACTTGACATTCAGACTTAACTCAGCAGCAGATCTCATACAGATCAGGATGTTAAAATAAAGTCACAAATTTGCACCTCTTTCTGTTTTTAAAACTTCAGTAGTACATCCTCTTTGTTGCAGTTTAWTTTTTTGACAATAAATGTCCAATGAACGTTAAAAAAAATCCAACGAACTTTTGTCATTTTTGACAATGAAATTTATTGTCCACGTTTACCAAACATCTGACTCCTAAACTGACGGTAAAGGATGAATATTTGAGTTCATCTTGTTAAGTTTTTAGGTCTGCAGCCGGGTCTTAAAGGACAACGTCGTCAGCTGAGCCACAGTGACCTGAATGATGGAGGGAAATTGGGAGTGGATGCCCTTTCCTGGTCTGACTTTGAGTCTGTCGGCCTGTTATTAGGACGAATTTCATTCTTTCAAAGTCGCTYGCGACCTTTAAAACCTCAGGCTCAGTTGTGATTTATACAGCAGGTTGCTGCTGATGTGAGTTTAACACCTACTGTACAGTTTCCCTGCAGGGGAAACCGATTTCTTTTGAATGATTCTCTTGAYGAATGCAAACAASCAGAGGAAAAGCTTCAGAACTGAGRGAGAACGACAAACTTCCTGGTGACATAAACTGTTAAAAGTCTGAGGACGCTGCTTTATTTCTGAAATAAAATGAAATGGCTGAAAACCCCAGCGAGTAATGGGTGGGGAGCTTATTTGTCATGGCTATGTCCAGAACATGGCYGCCATCTTGCATCRAAGTCAAATTTTTCCAGTGAGAGGGGACACCAGACTAGACCACTTTGTAGTTTTCTGCACCTGCTTTCACAGATAAATATCAGAGGAGATACTACGGTTTTTCATTTATCGATAAAGATATCCACGTCCCCCCCGTCCCCCCATCTATGGCTGAGAAAACACTGGACGAGGTGAAATGTTGGAGTGTCAACACAGGACTTTTTACAAGGAGCCTATAAGAGAAAGTGCAATTTTAAGTTTTCATTGGTAAATACAGAATTTAGTAACCTGTAACAACTTCTTAACAATTTTATGCATTTACTAAAATATAATTACTGCTTATAGTCTTTCAGCTCATTYTGAATTTTATTCYTTTCTGCTCTTACCYACATAGAAGAACTGAGCAAGTCCTGAGATATTCGAAATACTGGATTATTTTAAGTCCTGCTGGTACTCACTACTTTACTAAATGACCCAGCAGTTGTCCATGCAGTTAGTAACACGCAACATGCTTTCTTTCCAGCAGCATTTGAACGTCAGCCGCTCTGCATCATTTGTTTAAAAAAAAAAAACGAGTTCATGTAAAGTTCACATAAAATTCCCATCTGACCTGACGACTGAGTCCACAGACTGAACYGTTGCACAGCTTTTTGTTATTTGCATCTGTGAAATCAGAGTGTGGGACGAAGCTGACTTGCACATAGCACGTTATATATCAAGAGAAAAAAAGAACTTGAAGAGATTTTAGTCTACGTTGTATTGTATTGTAAGAAACCTAATCGTGACCTGTGCTGGCAAACAGAGTTGATTTGAAAACTTGATCATTGGTTTGAGAAGAAGTCATCGGGAAATCCAGTCTTATATTTATTAATAAGGAAAAATCCCTTGGTTTCACAATAAGCCAAACATTATATGAAGGGATTTCCCAGCCAGGATAGTTATGATGGTTTTAGGGACTCAGTTTTACAGGAAAGACCAATATTTTTGCAGGCAGTTTTTGTCTTTGTTTTATTTTTTTGGTAATTTTTATTTTTATTTATGTCAGATTTGTTGCAGATTTACTGCGTAATTTAATATTTCGTAAGTTGTGAACAAAAACTTGACAATTAGATAATTTTACAMATCAGCCGTTTCAAAACAAAGACTTTATTTCAGCACATTATTTTTTGTAAGAAAATAAATTATCATACTAAACGAAATACAAAACATTTCTGAAACGCCTCCACATTAGAACAGACTTATATAAAAATAATTTTTAGACAACACACCTTTGTTAATAACAAAAGCCTTAAAATAAAATCTTTGAACACGRTCCTTCAAATGAGTCCAAAAAAAGTTCAAAACTTAAAGTAGTGACCAAAACGTTTCAAAAGTGTCACCTAAAAGTAGAGACAGAAGTCATGTTCAACATTATTATACAGTCTATTAAACAAGTTATTAACTATTTRTAGTTGCACGTTTTAGCTTCAAAACCCAAACACTGTTCCTGGAATTCAACTGAAAACCTCCGTCTCGATGTTTCCTGACCCCACCCTTACAAATATGAACCTGACTTCAGAGCTTAGTTTCCCAGAAGTGTTAAAAATCGTAATTTAATGTATTTACAACCACACTGCTTTGCTCGAGCACATTCTCTGTGTAAATCAGAAAGAAGTTAAAATAAGCTGTGATCATTAAGTCGTTTTCATGATGCTGGTTTGAACTCGCTAACATCTTGCCTGTGTGATGTTTTCAGTAAAATCAGTAAGAATTGAGACAGAAAACTTTAGCTTTTGTTGTCTGACACAAAATCAGCTAATGTAGCTTCTGCATCGGACATGGAAACATTTGACACGTTAAAGGGGTTATTCTGAGCAAATAAAAGCAGCCCAATGATAAAACCTAAAAGGAACATTTTGCACTTAACTGGACATTCTTGGCATTTAACCTGTWAAACTCACTAATATCCCTGTAATGAACTGAATCAGGTGAAGCTGACATATTGACCTTAGCGTTGGTTTAGGTTGAAGTTAAGCTGAAATGTGAATTGATCCACGTAAAAAAATCATCCATTTCGAATGWCACTGAGCCTAAAACAGTGTGTAACCTGATGAGACAAGCTCACATCAAACAGGATTAAGTCCTAAAGTGGAGAAACGGGCAGCTGTGGTGCTTTGTTAAAACGTTAGCAACAACTGAGTTTTGTCAAAATATAATAAATAAATGCTGTATCTACAGGCTGTAAAATGAAATATCTGAATTATAATCATAAAGAATTTTTTKAAGCACTTAACTTAAATGAACTTACATTTTTGTTATTTTCCCTGTGAGCTAGCAAAGCCTTTTTTCTTTTCAGCTGGTAAATCTTTATATCCAACTATTATTTGAGGTTTTCTCTTTAAAACTAAAGTAGAATAAGCTAAAATAGGACCAAACCTCAATAAGTTATCCTGATTAGAAAAACAAATCAAGTTTTATCTCTGGAAAGGCTCATCCCATCAGGAAGATCAAAAATCTGTTTTTAATTTTGACTAAATTTGACTTAATCCTCAGTTTGATGTGATGGATCATAAATGTGAGTGACAGCTTGTAAAACTGCACTATGACTGCAGGAGGAGGTGCAGCTTCTGCTGAACGATTTCAAAGTTCATGCTCCACAGGAAGTCGGTCAGTCCTCCGCCCAGCAGCTCCTCCATGGGAACAAACTGCAGCACCTGCCGCTCTCCTCCGCACAGCGGAGCTTTACCTGCGCCCTCCTCCCCCGCCAGCAGCCGGCTCACACAGCTGCGCACGTCGCTCAGCGCCGGCAGCAGTTGCACGGCGGCTTCGGGGCAGAAGCCGACGCAGACGAGCAGCGCCCCGACCGGGGCGGCGGGGGGCGGACAGCGGTAAGACACGGAGCAGAAACAGGCGTGGAGGCAGAGGACGACGGCCGCCGTGACCCGGGTGAGAGCAGAAAACAGAGGCAGCAGCAGGACGTCACCAGAGCTCAGGGACTGCAGGGCGAAGGTGAGAGCCTCGAGAAGCTGCTGCTGGTACAGCGGCTCCCCGTCGTGCAGCAGCTTACTGCCTCTCTGRGGGAACCGGGGCTCGGAGCGGAACGACAGAACCAAACCCCCGACCTGGTTCTCGCTGGCGGCCCACGCCGAGCGGCTGCCAAACACCAGACACTTCCTGCTCCCCGCGGAGCTGCCCTTCAGYGCGCCAACGCCCGCAGCTTCAGACAAAATGGAGTCCGAGGAAGGCGGCCGGCAGGAGCTGCAGGAGGACAGGAAGGTCCAGTCCTCGGTGGAGTCCATCAGGGCTTCGTTCAGGTGGTTCAGCAGCCCTCCTTCACAGAACGGAGAGTTCCTGACCGCAGGCAGCGCCGTTCCAGTGACCACAAACCACGAGTCTGTGTGGCAGACGGACATGGGTCCCTCCAACACACAGCCYGTCCCGCCGTCCTCGGTCCAGTGTCTCTGGATCCGGGCGCCGTGGCAGCTCCTCTCGACCCGCTCCCTCCAGCTCAGGGTGAGGAGCTCCCTCCGCTCGTTGAAGGAGCCCGTCTGCTTCTTCTGCCCCAGCGGTCGACCGGACGTCACGCCGCAGCAGGCCGGACTCACCGCGTGACGAGAGATCCACCGGCCTCGTGGGAGAAAGCTCACCTGCCCAGAGAAACCATCAACCCTGAGATCCTGAATTCACGTTCAGATATTTAGACAAAACAAAAGAACTGAGTCATCGAATCCAAACACGGTCTGATCTAGAGCTGCACGATGCTTCGTTTGAGCATCTCATCGCAAAGTGCAGCAGCCACCCTGCAGGTCCTGTGATGATGGGGCATCGACTCTTTTAAATGAAACCAGAGAGCGTTGACAGAGAGGAGAAGGTAGAAATGACTCAGCCTGTAACTGAAA